TTTTTTCATCAAACATAAATAAAAATTAATTTAACACAAATAATTAAATCAATAAAATTGTTTCAAATAGAGATTAATCACCACTGGCTGAGTCCCGATTTATTTTGCTTTGCTGTCTTGACGAGAGAAGTTGCCTTTGCTTGAGAAAAGATCCCACAAACAATAGCAGAGTTTTAAAATATGTTGAGAAATCTGGAGCCAACAAGAGATCCAGGAGGTGACCTTATAGGAATTGATTCCATACTACCAATCTGAGCCATACGTACCCAAACCCAAAAACCAATTTCTATATAAATGGAATGAAAGTATAAAACCCGAAAATAAAAATGATCAAAGTCAAAATATGGATACTTAAATAGTTGGAGTTTATGAGACAGCACAATAGAGCAGAGGATGAAGGGTGGATGCATCGCAATCTCATCTCTTCCACAATACATTGGCTTTCCCTGTCAGACGCATTTTTGGCTTTGTTCCCGTTGTGTAGTACTGGAAGAAGGGGTTTTATTAGCACGTGTTATTGGGCTTGCACGTGACTTACTGCAGAATCATATACCTGGAAAATTGAAGATTTGTCAACAACTCCTCTTTTAGATGAGATGACAAAAATTTTAAGTAAATAAACAAATTGAATTTAAATTAGAATAAATCAATCAACCCCTTACATCCATGATGCAACAAATCCCATGAAAGGTTGGAGTATGTTCTTAGCATTAGGATCGTCCCATGGAGTATGCAAGTAGAGGGTCCGGCACAGATCGGGTCCTCACAGGAGGCAGCAAGCAGATCGAGTCCGGCATAGGAGGCAACAAGCAGAGGGTCCGGCACAGATCGGGTCCGGCACAGCAGGCAGCAAGCACAGGAGGCAGCAAGCAGATCGGGTTCGGCACAGAAGGCGGCAAGCACAGGAGGCAACAAGCAAAGGGTCCGGCACAGAAGGCAGCAAGCACAGGAGGCAACAAGCACAAGGTCCGGCACAGAGGCAGCAAGCAGATCCAACAACAGACCTGTAGGCTGTAGTAGATCTGTAGCAGCAAGAACGGGTTGTGGCTGAAACCAGGAGTGAGTGAGGGGTTGTGGGTGGCTGCGTGCGTGAGTGAGGAGAAGAGGGGAAATGAATAAAGTTATGAAATTAGGGTTGGAAGGGGGATTAATTAGGGTTGTGGCCGGTTGGGTTGAATTAGGATACTTGGGTTGGATTGGATTGGGTTGGGTTTGGTTGGGTTGGGTTGAGTAAAATTTAATTTGTATTGAATTGGGTTTGGGTTAGGTTTGAATTTTATTTTAAA